AAAACGATTTTATTTTTTATTCTAATGTTGAACGGATATTGAATATCGAGTTTTAACCGGAAATTGTTTCTATGGCGAGACTTTGTTGGTTTTTAAGCTCCACTGTGTTCCACGACGTCAGAGTGAAAATTTCCGTTTGCATTTTTTTTCTCTCTGTTCTTTGACACTATATATCAATCTCCAATAATCGTTCTGTCGTAGTAAGCGTTCTCTTTCTTGTTGTCCAACGACTGTCACCAAATCAATATTTTCAAATATTTATCTCACTTTGTTATTTCCGCCGAAACTACAACACACAGAATTGATTGATTTATTTCTTTTTACGTCTTACCAACCTGTTGCCGGAAAATACAGGGTGTCCCTAAAGTCTCTTTACAAAAAAAAAACAAACAAAAAAACCAACCTATTCTTTACTGTGTGTGTATTATTGTGTTATCAACTAATATCTGTCTAATATTATGTAAATGGCTCTGTTTTTCTAAGAAATGTTGTTTAATAGAACTAAGATCAGAAAGGTGACAGGTAACCACGCTCTCCTGCAGACTGACCTTTCACCTTTCACCCGAAATTAAAACAAACATTCGAACATTAGAACGGCTCATGATCAGACATAATAGACATTCATTGTCTGTTATATTTAATAATATGTGTTCATATATATATATATATATATATATATATATATATATATATATATATATATATATATATTAGAGCCGTTGGTGTGTGTTGGATCTAAGTTGATATCTTTTTTTCTCTATTAGCACGAATACTTCATTATGCTATTATTGCTTTTGCGATGATCAGTGATATTGTGGCGGACTTCACAACATTATTTTAACTTTAGATTAGAAAACAGGGCTGACGCAGAAAAGTATAAGCCAAAGACATTGTTACACATAAAATATGTATTTCACAAGATGTACAATATCAAACAACGATGTGAAAGAAAGCATGCATTTAAGTAAGAAAAGGTTGAAATAAACAAGAGTTGTCTCTCTTTAACTGTTATTTTAGTATTTCAAAGCTCACTGGAATAATGTTCATGAGAGTCTTTTATAATGACTGTTCTTAAAAGATTTGCCATGTTAGAAAAGATTATGTGAGTATATACAAAGTATGTTCAGCATGTGAGTGGTTTGTGTGAGTGAGAAGGTTGGCGCATGGTTTCAATTGTCGTGGATTCGTTTGGCAGCTGAATTCTCACTAATTAACTAAGAAAAATTATTGCTTAAATAAGTGACCATAGACTCCAGATCGCAGTGCGGGAAGAATTATTCTTCACGTGCAGGCGATCTGATTGGTTGGCATTGACCAATCTTCGAGCGAGCTTTGGGGAGACTTAAGAAAGCTTCTGTGATCCGTTTCCTTCCAAAAGTGCACAAAACTGACTGCATGAAAATAGAGCGATTACAAAATTGTATTGCTGCGATTTGTAAATTGTTTATAATAACGTAGTGGTGATTAATCAACCAATGAATGCTTGTGTGACGGTTACACACCTGGCCCAGGGTCGAATCCTTTGGTTACGGCGCCAACGGTGACGTCGCTCCTCCTGGTCGCTCCTCCTGGGTCCAAGCGTGCCGCTCCAACCCCTTGGTTAGATGATCACCAGCCTCGCCTTTCCCAACTCGCTTCCAATACCTGGTTACTGAAGCAACTGTACTGATCTCCGGTCTGTCTACCCACGCTGTGTTTAGATCTTAGACAGACGGGACCAGCAGGGATTGGGGCCGATACAAGTTGAGTCCGACGGGGTGGCAAAACACAAGTAAAAGAAAAAAAAACTCACGAGACACAAAAGATTGCTGATAAAAAAAAAGGGTAACAACCTTTTATATCTAATGTCCGTTACATAAAAACAAAATTGTTCTCATTTCCCGAACCGCTCTGTGGACTATGGCACAAGCTTCTATCACACAACCTAAATATTTCAATTGCCTACTCTTTAGAATTGTGTATGTCAGGTGTGGTTTAGCTCGACACTGGGGCTAATTTCTATCGATCATTCGCAGTTGATTCTTCTCTTCGACTTGGTTGAATTTCTTCTTCTTCGTCGACTTAGATAGAACTTCTCTTGTCTTCGGCTTGGGCTGGATCTTCTCTGCGGCTTTCAGGTAATCTTCTTCTTCGTCCACTTGGGCTGGAAGTTCTCTTGTCTTCGACTTGGGTGGAAGGATTTCTTGTTTCGACTTGGGTGGAAGGATTTCTTGCCGCAACTCAGCCGCTACTCTCTGTCGTCCGGGTGATCTCTTCTCGCTGCCGTCCGGGGCTGAACTGTGCCGTAACTCTGCCGTAACTCTGCCACAACTCTTGCTGCCTGTCTGGCCTGCAATTCTTCTTCTTGTCTGCCTGCAATTCTTCGGCCTGTCTGGCCTGCAACTCTTCTTCTTATCTTCGACTTGGCTGTAACTTCTCTGCGGCTTTCGAGCAATCTTCTTCTTCTTCGACTTGGCTGCAACTTCTCTGAGGCTTGCGAGCAATCTTCTTCATCTTCGATTTGGGCTGGAAGGATTTCTTGTCTGAGGATTCTCTTGCCCGCAAAGGGGCGAGTGAATCGGGCCTGATGCCCGCGTTCAGGCTCTATCCCTGCCCGCGGTCCAGCTGCAACTCAGCCGCTACTCTCAACTCAACTGATTTCTGTCGACTGGGGTCCTGCTTTTATTGACGCCGCAGCAAACCGGGGTGGGTCTGTTGGCGTCAGGGGTTTCTCGATAATTCCAATAGCCGCATTAATTCTGTTTCCCCATTATCGCTATTGTTTTCACCCCTACTTCCTCACAGTGCCTTTGGTGGGGAGGCGTACACCCATCTCTCCCGGTTTCTCGTATGTCAGGTGACCGTTTTTTGACCAATGGTTCCTGATCGAGCATTCTTCCTCTTCTTTCCGCATATCACGTGACCGCCCTCGGCCAATGAGATTGTGGTTGGGCGCCTCCCATCTCAAATCGGGCGTGGCTTACATCGTTCTTGTTTTAAAAAAAACAAAATCTAATTTTGCCCTTTTTGCACGTACGAAAAATGACAATCTTGGCTTTTTTTTTCACCTGGGCTCTGTCAAAACAGCCTGCCGCTAATTAGATGTGACTTCAGGAAAGAATATTGGCGCCATCTGTGAGCTGAGACAATCGTTTTTTTCACCTCTTGTTTTGTCAGACCCGACAGTCAGAAAATCTTAATTATCTACATTGAAAATGTCCCCACTTTATTATCGTGGGTTTCCAATTCTTAATAGGTCAGAATCTGTATACCGTTCCACCGGTCCTCCCCTCAACCCAAAAAGACACTTTTCTCCGATTAAAAAATTTCGTTTCTATTGTTCTAAAAAGAAATTCCCCTTTCTCCAATTTGACAATGAGTCTTTCCACGCAAAAAAAGTAGGCTAGGTGCTTTGACCGATATTCTTATCAATTCAATACACTGTCATCAAGCCTGGTTCTTTTCTCCCTCTAAAGGATTTTCATTTCAAATAACAATTCTCTATTGTCTTTTAAAATTCGGCCAACACGCAGGCCAAGATATCTTTCTGACACCTATCTTCGCTTATGACCGGGTCATGCATCATCCATCTCTCTTTCCTTTTTTTTTCTTTCTTCCTCTTTTCTTTCCCCTTCCTTCTTCTTTCCTTAGGATCGTCTAAGTACAACTCTAGTGAATTATTTTCAACTCAATTATTTTCCGTTTAAAAAAAAATCAACAACCTGTTTAATAAACCGAGTAAAAAAAAATTAAATCATATTTCTATGAATATTTCTAATAATGCAAGGTGCCACACTTGGCGTTGTATGTGATTTGTATTTGTATGTGTGTTCGTGCGTAATAGATTCCCACAATATTATGCATGGTCCTGGACTGAGATTTATTGTCAAGAATTTTGAGATTATCGCACTTTCAATGTGTTTCCTTCTTAGTAAATTCCTGATCAGTTTAGCATTTATGTCGAAATTTTGGTCAGATGTATTACAGTGAAGCACCAGTGTGTTTAAAGTATTGTTAAGTAACATATCTCTACGATGTTCATATACTCTTTTTTTCTTTAGATTTCTGGATGTTCCGCCGAGGTACAAAATACTCACTGGTGTATGTCGGGGAGACATGCAAGAGTAATAATAGCACAATACGGTATACGAGCTAGTAGAGAAAAAATACTCGGTGTGGGATGATTTAACATCCAACAGACACCAACGGCTCTAATATACCGGGTGAAACAGCAAAATTGTCCAATTGATAAATTAAGCTTTGAAGTGTTGTATCTTGGAAATGATTAAATATAGCTTACTGGAATTCTCAGAGGTTTTTATAGCACTATTGTAATCTACTTGGAACAATAAGAATGTATAATTAATCTCCAAACTTAACAGAAGAATCGTGATGAAATCGACCATAAACGAAAATGATATGTACCAACTGAGCAATGGTGAGAGGAAATAGATCTTTCAGGCTTTCCGTAATGGTACCAACATTCATACTCTGGCTTCTATCTTCAAAGTCTATTCAAGAATCATCAAGAGAACGGGAATAAGTTTGAAAAAGAAGTAACTGTAGAGTGGAAAATTGGATCAGGAGGTCACAACAGCAAGAAGGATCATCATTACAGCTTAGAGCTAAACAAATGCTTATTGTTCAAGGTAGAGTCCAATAGTGTTATAAAAACCTCGGAAAACTGCATTAAGATATCTTTAATCATTTCTCAGATTCATTTCTCAGTTCAAGGCTTAACTTAACAATTGCATAATTTTGCTGTTACACGATTCGGACAATTCTGTTGTTACACCCGGTATATATATATATATATATATATATATATATATATATATATATATAATGTCTATAAATTTATAGATTTATGTATCTAGAAGTGTGAGTTTTTATGATTCTGTAAGTTTGTGAACAGATCCATTGCATGTCAGCCACGTTTTCAACGTTCACAAAAATATAATGTTCTCAAAGATTCAGCATGAGTTCTTGAAAGATCAAAACCTCACAGCTTCAACCAAGAAATGTGTTCACACTCCATTCTCTTGATGCCAACGGAGGAATTGGCCAGACGCACCTGTTCCTCACGCAATAGGACATATCTTGAAATCAGTAAAGACCACACGGGCATATCTAACAATCTTTTCGCGTGACTGACATTAAACATTTGCTTTTTTTCTGTTTTTTCTAAAAGAAACTGGAGTGAATTTTGAAATCGATATTCCACTGAAATTCTAAAAGGAAACGGTTCTTCACATTTTAAATCTTCAAATCTGCCTTTTGATATGGCAATTTCAACAACGACGATCCCAAATAATCCCGTTCTTTTTTTTTTTTTTTTTTTACTAAAGTTCATTCAGTACAAGGCTCAAGAACCAGTCAAGGTAGATGATTATTAACTGAAGTTGTATGGACTTAAGAGGTTGGAATAAATAGAAATTACGAGGATATGTAGGATAGATAACGGTTGATCATAGAATTGGAGAGGTTAAACTTGTAGTGATTGGGTATGCATCACCTCTTACCAGTGGAATATGGAAAGAATGAGGCTGATTCGTCCCTGTGTACATGACATGGCGGGCGCTATCTGCAAGTAACTGAACTAGTAAAACTCAACATTTGCCATGGAAATAGCGATAGAGTAGAGATAGACAGGAAGATATTTTGTGACGGGAAAGCAAAGCAGCAACACCTAGTTTGACGAGGCTCTGGCGCGCGATACTCCACGGGTGAGCCTATACAGGACTTACATACAATATTCACATTATTTTCATTCGGAATATTATCATTGTCTTTGTTGTTTTCACCCTTTTTCGCTGTTCTACAGGGAATTCCGAACTGAACCCTTTATTTAATCTACGGGGGTAGAGTTTTCTCCTTCCATTGTCAATGTGAATATCTCAAATAGTTCTTATTTTTAATACTACTCAATTATTTCACTGCGTCCAAGTACACACTGCCAGGCTAAGGGATTGAACTCGCAATTACTATGTCAATAAATTCAGGAATCAACGCTTTAATCCACTAGGCTGTTGTCCCGTAGGACAATTCTCTGTGGAGATCTTGGAGCCTTAAATCTAATCTGCCTGCTAACAAGTACTGCTGCTTGTCATGCTTGACTGTAGTTGCTAAAGCTTCTCTATTTTGTTACAACTGCTGTTGAAGACTTGCTGTCATTTGTCTTTCCTTCTTTATTAGCGGCCCTGAGAACAGTTTACCCCTATAGATTCAATAAAGGGTTCAGTTCGAAATTTCCTATAGATTACCCGGATTGATATAATAATGGAGGACACAATGGTTGAAACTTTGTAATAGCAATAACAAACATAAGGACAATAGTCCGAATGTAAATACTGTAAATAATGATAACTCCTCACCCATAAATTGCATCAGGTAATCAGCAAGGACAGCGTAACATAAGAAAATAAAATAACAAAAGACAACTGTGTCTTTTAAGACCAACTCAGTCTGTGGATAATGAAAAGTAATTCAGATATTTTTTCAAATAATCAATAAATGATCGGTTTTATTCATTTAATTAAACTGTTGCGGATTTGAATTAACCCACATCAAAGAAAAAGGCGAAAAGGTTATGATGGGTGAGAGCTATGATAGAAAGGTTTATTCTCCTATTTGCAATTCCCCCATTATGGGCATTACTATATCCATGATATAATAACACCGTAGTTCACGGACGAAACAGAATAGCTGAAAGGTAAAAGAATGACAAGCACGCTTTGTTCTCAGAGAGACTTTTATACCGCTAAGACACACAAAACTATATATGCCATATGTCCCACGCAGAGAATAATATATCCCATATATCTACGCAGCGAGCACAATGTAAAGAGAAACAAAAAGGATGGACCTTACATATAATATGAAGTTTCTTCTGTTTCTGGAGAAGCCATGTTTAGGACTCCAGATTAAAACGGACCGGATTTATCTACGATGTCCCAAACGAGGACATATTCCAGGGTAGAGAAATTGAGGACTGCGAGCTGGAGTTTTTTTCTATGGCTTGGCCTAGGTTAGAGAAGTAACCGCTCGCTTTGGCTGCTGTTATATGGAGTATGTGACATCACTGTATGGAGTGACGTCACTAAGCGGACGTCACGTGACCCACGTGACTTATCTCTACCGAAGAGAGATAATCGCCTTTTGTATCCCTACAAGGTGTTTAAATATAAAAATATAAGATATTTTTATTTTCTTAGTGTATATGAATGTTAAAGTTCTTACAGTCCTTGTTTGTAGTTGTTTGTTAAAATGGAAATAAATTTGATTTCTTCGCGTGTATGTAAGAGAAAGAAGAGGCAAAGGAGAAAGAGTAAGTCTCACGTAACTTGGTGTGGAAAACGAATGAATGAGTAAGGGAATTTCTTTTAAACCGAGCGTTGATGAACTGTTGTCGTCTGTCTCTCCTTACTGGCTTGCCCGTTTAGAACTTTGCTTAAATACCCAATAAACTATTTTTCATTGTTGGCGCGAATGCGAGTGGTTGGTTGAAAAATGTTAAATATTTATTTTCAAAGCATTAATTTATTAACCGGAAGATGCGCAATCCTCTAACTCAGAAACCATTTTTTGTCATTTGGTGTTTGACTGTCTTGGTGTTTATTTCCGTCTTCGCTCCACAAAACAGTCATCGTTTCAGTTTTGCATGAACAAAACTGAAAAATTCAATCGTCTATTTAAAAACGTTTGAAACATTTTTCTATTTGAAATTAAGTAAATTTTCACGTTCTCTTTTTGTTTCTATATTATTTTTCAATGAATAAAAACGCCTGCCAGTCACGGAAAGCAAAGGCCGGCTTTTAACTTGTTTATAGAATAAATTCAGAAAGAAAATTCATACCCATATTTATTTATTCATTTATTCAATTGGATGCAAATCTATAATGGTGTTTTCTCTCTTAGACGTGTGTGTTCGTGATTGTGCGTATGTAGCTATCACGGTCTGTTCATATCTATCTATCTATCTATCTATCTATCTATCTATCTATCTATCTCAGTCTATTCATATATATCTCAATCTTTTCATTAACTTTCTATCTCAATGTGTTCATATCTATCTATCTATCTATGTTGCCATAGATAGATAGATATCCTTTCGATAAACTCGTTTTCCTTTCTCATAAACTCGTTATTTTATTCACCAATTCGTATTGTTGTCTTCATTTTCATTTCTTCTCTTTAAAACAAATCAATATTTTTCCTTTCAACCAAATTAACTATGAAATCATGAATATATTTCCCTTCATTGAATAAAATAAATATTTTATCCTAAATCCTCTTCAGTTAGTTTTGATAAAATATCACTGACTTAAAAATGACGTACGACGTCTCATCATTTTTCAAGGATAAAAGCATAGTTTTTAGATATGACCTAAAATATAAAATATAAAATTCATTCAATTCAATATACATAATCGATATTTGATTTTACGGTGGACGTTAACGGCTTATATTACTGTCCACTGTAAAATCCTGTATTAATAATAAAAATAAAAAATCCGATATTAATTATAGATTTCTTTATGGCTGTCAGCAAGATGGCGGCTACAAATTATAGATAACAAGCGCAGAACTTCTGGGAGGAGTTTTATAACTGAAGAATGGAAAAATGTAACACCCAAATCCGAAGTTGCATTGGAAGGGCGTCACCCGAAATTTAAAAAAAAAAAGATTCTTTACTCTTTGAAATTTAGACATATTTGACTTCAAAGTTTCACTAACCATTAATTGTTCATCCACTGCCTCTTGAACAGGAGTAGAGTTTTATCGTTTTTTTCCTGTTTAGGATTGAGTTTCCTTGTAAAATTTGCCTCAGCTCTATACTTCTAACATCTCCGACGTTTTTGGTTATAATATGGATTCTTTTTTATATATTATACTTTATTTTACATATTTTTCCTACGGGTGTTTCGGGTCTTGTGACATTCATCAGGCGAAGAATGGTTATTTCAACATATTATTTAAAGGAATTAATTTTTTCTGATGTTTCCTGTTTAACCATTGTCTTTTATATGTGGTAGTAATCTAAATTCTTCTTGGACTGGCGGAAAAATATTCCTTTGCTCTGAGCCTTTCTTGAACGACGAAATCGACTTTATTAAGGATACCCTATGTAATTTGGGTTATCCTCTTGATACTGTTAATTCAGTTATCCGTAGTAAAGTTGAAGAGTTCAGAAGTGCCGAGCTCTACACTGTCAAAAAATGCCCAGTTTACCTCAGATTACCCTGGATTTGTACCAAATGTGAAAAAATAGCTAAACAAATTTCATACAATGTTCGTTGTTGTTTTTTCTCTGCTGAAGTTCGGATTATTTTTCAAACTCGGCCTATGTTTCGATCTGCGTATAAAGACGTTCTCCCTCCCCATCAAATTAATTCAATTATTTACAAATACGTTTGTAGTTGCGGAGCCGACTACATAGGGAGAACAACTCAAAGCTTAGACATTAGAATAAAACAACACGTTCCTACAAAAATTAGAAATCACACCCTGTCGTTGAATGGACTCGTCCCGAACGCCTATAGTTCCGCCATATGCGAACACCTATTAAAGAACAGAGATTGTGCAGCCAAATTTAGTGTCGACTGATTCACCGTGTTGTCCCGGTCTCACTCCTTATTTCATCTAAAGGTTCTGGAGGCACTTTACATCGGGTCCCGCAAGCTTTCTTTGTGCAAACAACGTGAGTGTTTGTTGGGACTCGCTGTTATTTGTCTCTAGTTTCTTTTGCATAATTTTTTTTTTTTACAATTCCTTTTATTGTACATTTTTCTGTATTAATTTTAAATCTCCCGTTGAAGCCTGAAGAGCGGAAGCGAAACCGGTTGCTTCACCCGTTTTTTTTTTTAATATGTCTCGTAATATTAAGTTTTATACTTTTATTTCGATATATATATATATATATATATATATATATGTATATATAATGTTAATATTTGGTAATCCGTATGGATAATTCCAAAGAGGGTATAGATTCAGAGAGAGCTCAATGTAAAAAACAGAGCATATAATAATTATCATGAAAGCAACGAAAACTTTAAAAGATTGTAGTGATATTTATTTCATTAGAATCAAAATTTCGATTCCAACTCATCAGACCGAACATTACACAAACTTCCAAGATTTAGTGAAATGGATTTTTATATTCCCCTCCCCCTATATTTGCTTTATCTTTTCATTCAGGTTTTCCTCTAGATAATCTAAGGTTATGGTGGCATATGTTGGTGCCATTTTCGTTCCCATCGCGGTACCTAGGGTTTAGAGATCATTTTTATTGTCAAATTCAAAAGTGCTATTGTTCAGGATTAGGCCTGTATTATATCGACAGTATGAATTCCTTGATGAATCTGGGATGCAGTATTTCTGGGTGTTTTTCAATCCAGAATCAGATTGCCTGTTTACTTAATTCATTGGGCTATGTTGCTATATAAGCTAATAATGTCAAACGATGCATGATATTTTTCATAATCATAGTTTCTTCTGATCGTAGAAATTTAGACAGAAAATTAGCATAAATCTGAAACATGTTGCTTCCGGTATTTTCAAAGTCACCGTATGTTAGAATGACCCGTTCATTGCTTGCGGAATTTTCGACTATTTTCCATCTCAAAACCCAAGTTCAAATTTCAACAACATATCACCCATGTGACCAGGTTTATCCAGTCATGTTCACCCCCCACTCTACAGTATCCACTTGTAACTTTCATACTTACGAAAATGGGGTTAATTAGATAGGTAATTGCATTTTCTGGGATATTGTTTGAGGGAGAAGTCTCCTGTTTTTTAATTATTTATAGTACTGTAAGAAATGTGGCGTTACTCTCGTTACATAACTGTAGTACTAAAGCGTTACATAAATTGGAATTATATGACAAAATACTAGAAAAGAGTGACAGTGAGAATTTTGAATTAAAATGGCCTGACGAAGATATTTTTTCTTTAATATAGACTAATAAATTTATACAGTTTATATTTAAAATAGTTTCATACTAATAGCCTTGGTGAAAGCACAAATCCATCTCTTCTAATAGGTCAGGGTTACTACCTTCTGCCCAATCCCTGCTATATATATATATATATATATATATATATATATATATATATATATATATAAAATAAAAAAATAAAACAAAGCTTGACAATCACCTTGGTTGACTTGATCCGCTGAGCCACAGAAGTAAGTCGGAGCATCTATCTAAAAAGTGAATTCACCTTGTGGGGGTTGATCTCCATTGAAAGCACTCAGCGCAGGCGAGAGGAGAGAGGACGTGTCGCGGAATATGCGTGTATAAACGAAAAATTAAAAATCTTCAAACACTGATCTACAAATTTTAATAATTTTTATTTATTTCAGTATTATTTTTCTTTCAAACTAAAAGAAATGAATTACAAAGGAACTTCACACAAAATGTTTTGTGTATCTTTTTGTACTGTACAACTGAATGAATAACGTTAGTATATGATAAATGGAAAATGTGCCTACACGTGAGCAGATGTTAATAATTAATGGCTATCCACTCGAACTCGGTGATACCTGTCTACTAGGGCGGCTAGTTGATCCCTATTTCAGACGCCTGCGCTCAGGCGCATTTTTTGTTTGTTCAACTACGCTGAGCAGACCTTAGTTACAGTTTCTGGGAAAGAAGCGTGATCAACAATCTGAACAAAGCCAGCACGCTCAAACCCTTGGTGACGATCACTTGGGACTAGCAAGGGTCTCATCTACCCAGTTTCTCTCATAAGACTTGGGTCAGCCTATGGTTTTCAAATATTTTCCAAAGGTGCCGCACGCTGCGATCGCCTCCTCCAGACCGATCAAGAAGTCACCTTGTTGACAAATCAATCATGGTGAGATTCGAAGGCGAACGTTCTAACCACTCGGCCACGTGCCCATATCTGAGCGGATGCATATGTCATAAGTTTACATTGATTACACCGTGTGTATATGAAATTTCTGCAACCAGTCTCATGAAACCAAGAGAGGAAGTTGGATGTAACTGTTAATGCATGTAAACAAACTAGGTCGTATTTTTGTAATTTTGTATACTCGAATAAATGTGCCAAAGATATAATTAATTGTGATAATTTCAGTTTCGTTTCTGTGACAAACGATCGAACAAACACCCTGGTCAAAGTTCACTGAAAGACTAATTAGCGAAAAAAATTATTATATCTATAATAACATAGCAGGCTCCGAGTGAATCTAAAATTTAGATTTTTTAACATATTCTGAAGTTGAACCTCCAAAATTTCATTCGAAGATATTTTACTCTCTGCCAATTAAAAGAACACCGCGCGTCTCGTTCGATGTCGTTGGTTGGTTAATATATATGAATACAAAAATTCAAATATTTGGAGCCTGTCACTGTCAAAATTGAGTTACTTTCTGTGAGTCGGCCAATGTATAAAAAATGAGTTTTCACTGACAGAACTTAAATATATTAGCATTTTTCTATATTCTGAAACGGGGCTCCACAGACGAACGCAGTAAACGGACAGACCAACCTCGCTTGATCCTTGGAAGCGAAGATGAAGCTGACACCATAACTATCACAAATACCAATGCTGTCAAAATTCTATTACGCTATTTATAGTGCGAAATCAATAAAATATTGATCTCTTTCCATTTCTTTTTGAATTGTTTATAAACAAAGACGTAATTCCAAATTACAGTCCAAAATAAAACTACTCCATCATTGATAGGATAAAAATTGAGATGAGAAAAGTTTTCTTCTTATGTTGGACACAAAAACGGAAAGCAGACGATTAGGGAATTCATGACAGATTGTTAATCAGGAGATCTCAACAGTTGTAGAGATTAATTCTAACTGAAAAGATATTAAATTCATTGCTAGGTCAGCTACTAAAAGGGTTAGTTCGTTGTGTCGGGCTAGATTGTTTTTCTCTCCAGAGTCTATCCATGATTAAAATATTACTGCCACATATGGTCTGCTGCTATCGCTATCTATCTAGAGCACCTTAATAAAATCCAAA